TGCATTGCATTCTATTTCCTCCTTTAGTTCTGTTAGTATTTGTTTCACATATACTGGTGCTCCTGTGTTGTGTGCATATATATTTATAATGGTTATATCCTCCAGTTGGACTGACCGCATTATCATTATGCAATGTCCTTCTTTATCTCTTGTTACTTTCTTTGTTTTGAAGTCTATTTTGTCTGATTCAAGTACTGCAACATCTGCTTTTTTCTCCCTATTGTTTGCATGAAATATCTTTTTCCGTCCCTTGACTTTTTTTTTTTTGTCAAATGTTTTATTGAGTGGACATCTGGAGTACTGTAAAACATGCATTCTCTGTAGATTCAAAATGGAGCGAGCCACATAGCCCTCACTGTCAAATGTGTCAGGCTTGGCATGCATGATGGAGATTAATGAAGTATCATGAGAGTAATATGGTTCCTGAAAAGCTTCTACAATTTGGAGTAGGGTCTTACTCATGTGAAAAGCAAAGCTGTTCACATTTAGTGAAGTTGCATTTGAATGGAGATACACAGTATTTTAATTTTAAAACAAATTTTAAAAATCCTTTTTGTAGATGATTCCCAGTGCCCCAACTTTATGTGTCCCTTCAGTTTTCAAAAATTGTAATAAAAAAAAAATCATGCCTTTGGGAAGTTGTATGTTTATCTGAGGCATAACTAAAATTCATTTCTTCTTTGGTTGCTGAGGTGTATTAAATTTGAAGAAGATAATATCTCCATCTTCAACAATGTAATTTCTCCCTTGTTGTCTGTATTTTCCAGCAGCCTTAACTGCATTTTCAGAACCTTCTTCTTTAAAATCTTCATATTTCATCACTTTAGCCATAATGAGTCCTTTTTCAAAATCTGTGTGAATCTTTCCTGTAGCTTGAGGGGCCTTCGTCCCTTTCCTGATGGTCCATGCACGCACTTCATCTGGGCCTGCAGTGAAAAAGTATTCTAGTTGGAGTGCTGCAAACCCAGCCTTAATGATCTTTGGCAAAGCGCTTTGTGTCATGTTCACTTCCAGATACTTCTGTCTCTCCTCAGCACTCAATTCTTGCAGTTTGAGTTCCAAGGCCCCACTAAAAGGAATGACCAAGGCACCTGGGTCACACTTGTCCACCCACTCTTTAATTTTTATCAACCATTTGTTTTTCTTCCTAATGTAGTCTTTTTCAGAAAGATTAACCAAATAGACCATTGGTTTTGAAGTCAGAAATAAGTTTTTAATTCAATCTCTTTGTCATTCCAGTCATGATAGAAGGGAACAGGTTTCTTTTGATCTATAACCCAGGATTTGACTTTGTACATTATGTCATATTCAGGTTTTAGTTTTTTATCTCCTCCTCTCACAGTCACTTTTTGAAGTTTATCTATAATGGGCCCAATCATTTCCTCATCTTTAAGCTGAAGTTCTTCATGTATTATTTCTGTATCTCGAATAGGATCTACACTTCCTTCAACATGTGTGATATCATCATCTTCAAAAGCACGTGTTAAATGAAAGATTCCATCACAGGCACTAATATGAGATAAAAAGGAATTTCCCAGGCCTTGTCCATTATGAGCTCCTTTCACAAGGCCAGCAATATCCACTACATTTAAAAAGGCAGGAATTTTGCTTGCTGGTTTGTGGTACTGGCAAAGGAAGTCAAATCTTTCATCTGGCACAGGTACTCTGCTCTCATTAGGATCAATCGTGCAGAATGGGAAGTTTTCTGCAGATGCCTGACTATAGGTTAATACATTGAAGAAGGTAGACTTCCCAACATTTGGCAATCCAACAATACCAATTTTCAAGGAGGTTCCAAATCTTCCAATGATTGAGGGTGCTTTAATTCCATCACCTCCCTTTTTTGGGGGCATCGTGCTCATGGCAGGCGATGACGGGGGTCCCAGCGGCAGCAGGAGACGAGCCCTGCCAGCAGTGGGAGGTGGGGAAGGAGGAGGAGAGAGCACAGGCCCGGCCCCTCCACCCAGCTGCATGCACAACGGCGGCAGCGGAGCAGGGGGGGCGCTGGGTGGCACCTGCGCGCCGAGCACGCGCCCCCATCCTTGACTTTTAATCTGTCAATGTCTTTGGGTTTGAGGTGAGTCTCTTGTAAGCAGCATATAGATTGGTCTTGTTTTTTTACCCATTCAGTGACTCTATGTCTTTTGATTGGTGCATTCAGTCCATTTACATTTAGGGTGATTATTGATAGGAATGTACTTATTGCCATTTCAGGCTTTAGATTCGTGGTTACCAAAGATTCCAGGTTACTTTCCTTACTATCTAAGAGTCTAACTTAACTCACTTAGTATGCTGTTACAAACACAATCTAAAGGTTCTTTTCTGTTTCTCCTCCTTTTTCTTCCTCCTTCAGTCTTTATATATTAGGTATCAAATTCTGTACTTTTTGTCTATCCCTTGATTGACTTTGGGGATAGTTAATTTAATTTTGCATTTGCTTCGTAATTAGCTGTTCTACTTTCTTTACTGTGGTTGTATTACCTCTGGTGACAGCTATTCAGCCTTAGGAACACTTCCATCTATAGCAGTTCCCTCCAAAATAGACTGTAGAGATGGTTTGTGGGAGGTGAATTCTCTCAGCTTTTGATCTGGAAATTGTTTAATCTCTCCTTCAAATTTAAATGATAATCTTGCCCGATAAAGTAATCTTGGTTCCAGGTCCTTCTGCTTCATGGCATTAAATACATCATGCCACTCCCTTATAGCCTGTAAGGTTTCTGCTAAGAAGTCTGATGTTAGCCTGATGGGCTTTCCTTTGTATGTGATCTTATTTCTGCCTCTGGCTGCTTTTAACAGTCTGTCCTTATCTTTGATCTTTCCCATTTTAATTACTATGTGTCTTGGTGTTGTCTTCCTTGGGTCCCTTGTATTGGGAGATCTGTGGATCTCCATGGCCTGAGAGACTATCTCTTTCCCCAGATCAGGGAAGTTTTCAGCAACTACCTCCTCAAAGACACTTTCTATCCCTTTCTCTCTCTTCTTCTTCTTCTTCTGGTATCCCTATAATGCGAATATTGTTTCACTTGGATTGGTCACACAGTGTTCTCAATATTCTTTCATTCTTAGAGATCCTTTTTTCTCTCTGTGCCTCAGCTTCTTTGTATTCCTCCTCTCTAGTTTCTATTTCATTTATTGTCTCCTCCACCGTATCCAAACTGCTTTTAATACCCTCCATCGTGCTCTTCAACGATTGGATCTCTGACCTGAATTCATTCCTGATTTCTTGGATGTCTTTCCATATCTCCATTAGAATGTTGATGATTTTTATTTTGAACTCCCTTTCAGGAAGAGTCACAAGGTCCATATTATTTAAATCTTTCTCAGGAGTTGTATTAATAATTTTACTCTGGACAAGGTTCCTTTGGTGTTTCATGTTTGTATATGGCGCCCTCTAGTGTCCAGAAGCTCTCTTCTGGAGCTGCTACCCTGAAGCAATATCAGGGATCGCAGGGGAGCAGTACTGGTGCCTGGGGGGAGGAAAGAGCTGTTCCCTGCCTCCTGGCTGCTGTGCCTGTCTCCACTGCCTGTGTGGGCCAGGCACACAGATAAAAGTTTTTGTCCCAGAGCAGCTGGATATGGATCCCTGCTTTCCACAAGCGGCCGGAATCCCAGTCTCCCCAGGAACTCTGCCTGTATTAACTTTCCAACCCGGTAGTCATGCGAGTCTCATGAAAGCACCATGAAATGTAGGTTTGTGCTCTGAGCGCAGATCTCCGGAGCTAGGTATTCAGCAGTCCCAAGCCTTCCACGCCCTCCCTGCTCCATTTCTCTTCCACCCGCCAGTGAGCTGGGGTGGGGGAAGGGCTCGGGTCCCGTGGAGTCACAGCTCTGGTACGTTACCCCATTCGGTGAGGTCTGCTCTTTTCTCCAGATGTGTGCAGTCTGACACCATCCTCTTTCCTGTTGCTCTCTCATGATTAGTTGTGCCAACTATATTTTCTCATTGTATCCAGTTTTAGGAGGAAGTCTGTGTCTCTCTTCTCACACCGCCATCTTTAATCCTTTCTCTAATCATTCTTTATTGTATTTCTTACGATAAAGTGTTCTTGAATGGTAATGAAGTGAAAAACTAATCATTTCTACTTCAGAATCTCCAAAGGAAAACTATAATCATTTCAGTTTCTTCACTGACGACTTCTTTTTTCATTTTTTATATGCCAAACTACCATATTTTCTAACCAGGAAATCAGCATGACACTTAGATGAGAGAAGTATTTAAAAAGTGAAGGGCATTAGAGGCAGTGTATAAGGATTTTCTGAAAGATGACTGCTTCAGAAGAAGGTAAACATATGGGGAATTTGAGAACCTGGTTGGTTGAGTGATGGTACAATAAGATTTTAATAAAGTTCTTAGGTTATTGATTGTATCTTAACTCTTAGAAAATATTTTTGGATTTGGACTACTAGATTTTTTTAAAATGATAGTCTGACCAGGGCTCAGTAGAATTTCTGAATCCTGTGCCATCCTACTGCTGTCTCTATTTTCTTTACACTGCTTGTCGAGGGATGTGTCTTCACAAAGGACAGTGGCAAAGAGAAGCAAAGTGATTGTTGATTTTTCACTAGTACCTAAAACTTCAGTGTGGAGATTTCTGGCAAACTGGGCTGAAGCATGGGAAGATTCCCATTGTCCTAAACTAGTTGGCTTTGGAGTGGTGTGATACTTGCTCCCTTTTGTTTTGAAGTACCCAAATCAACTCTTAACTGCACTGGAGAAAGAGTGAAGAGAGTGAGTTATACTAGGTGAATTGACTTGTTCTTAGGCTGGTAGACAGGATCACATAGGCAAAACTACTGGTACAGTGGTTGGCATGAAGTGGGCATGCAGAAAGTGTGCCTAACACTTCCTTCCCACTTTGTGTTTTATCCGAAGGAGGCATAGTTGACATGTTATATATAGACTGTGCAAACATGATGGAATGGAGTCCCTTCCCAGCATTTGGAAATTAAACAGTAAATCCAGTTGAACATTTTTTATTTTTTATTTTCCCTTTTTTCAGGTGCTCAGAATTTTGATGTGATACGACTGTCAACTTACAGAACAGCTTGCAAATTACGATTTGTACAAAAACGATGCAATTGTAAGTCATTTCTATTGATTTCTGTGATAGCTTGATAGAGCTCTCAGTAATATAAGAGATTTTAATATTGTTTAGTCATATTGTAATGTTAATTTTATTATTTTTGTAAGTATTTATTGGAATATAAACTTTGTAATGGAAAGAATTTGTCATTTTACTCTGTGTTGCTCAAAATTAACAAACTCAGTAATGTAACTAGTTTTAAGGCTGGCATTGTATTGATGTTCTTGAAATGGAAGATTTGACATCTCCTTGTCATTTTCTTTAGTGAAGAGTTTTATCCAAAATGAATACGGTTTATCACCTTCTGGAGGAAAAAATTTAGTATTTTGATAGAGATATAATAAAAACTTTCCTGATTAAACTTAATATAATATGAATCAGCCATTTCCAAAAGTAATCACTACAGTTGCTACATATAGAACAAGTAAAATATATACACGTATATGTGTATATATATAAAATCTCTACATATAACATCTTTCTTCTGTTAATTTCCAAGGTGAACTAGTTACATAATTACTATACTTTTCTTGTGTGTGAGTATATGTATATATTAATGAAAGCTGTTTTGTATAATAGAAAGAACATTAGCTTTGGAATTGGAAAAACTTCACATTTAGTCCTGGTTTTGCTATTTATTATAAACCCATGACTAAACCTACTCTAAGTTTTACTCAAAAATCCTAATGTGACATTTTCTCTAGAGAGTTTACCATGCCATCCTACACTGAAATCATGTTTCTTCTGTGGTTTCCCAAAGCATTGTTTTTCAAATTAAGGGTTGTGATGCATTAATGGTACATGAAATGATTTTGGTGGGCTGTAGCCAGAATGTAAAGCATGCAATAGAGAAGTAAAGAGAAAGAAAAAAAAAGAGAAAGAATGCAAATTATATGGTACGGCTAGAAAGTATT